ATGTGGGACCCTCCTCCGGTGGCCGGGGAGCAGCCGGGGATCGAACCTGTGCCGCAGAGGCCACGGGCAGCTTCGCAACCCAGCGCTCAACCGCTGCGCCACCTGGGAGGCCCGGTTATTCAGATCTTAAGTGGTTTTTGTTGTTGTTGTTTGTTTTTAAGATCAGAATCACACTTTTCATCAGCCTTCATCTCAGATTCTAATTCTGCCATCACCGTCCATAAGAGTGGCAGCGCCAACAAGTGGCCCCAGGCTACCCTTTACTCAGGCCCCGTCCACTATATCCATCAGCTCATTTCATTCTTTCATATGAATAGTGATGTATTCTCCATCTTAATCACTCCGAACCATTCTGGACATTGGCTACCAGCTACTCGATGCTACTTTGCGGTGGAAACGTGCATTTACAGACCCTCATATTATTTAGTATAATTTTGGAACCAAGTAACGTATTATAATGATATTGGACTTATATGAATTGGGTGACATCGAGAAATGTATATTTGCAAAAAAAAAAAAAACAATATTTTATTGTTTATAATTTTGTACAGTCTGATAAGTTTTGTAACACTCCCCAAAATGCATTGCAGGCTGATTAGTGCATGTTTGACATGTCTGTATAGAGTTCTATCTGGAGCTCATCATCACTACTACTTGAGTCATGAGACTCATTCGTGGTTGGACGCTTTGCCATTGTTCTAATAAAAAATATGAATGCATGGGTTGAAAATTTCTAATTGTTATTACTAACTGACAAGAGGATATTTACCAAAATAGCTTTCACCAAATAATTTATTCACTAAGAATCACTTTTCCGATTTTCTCCTCGTTACATCTAAGTGCACTGCTCAAAGCTTCAAACCAAAATGAGCTCAGCTTTGAAAATCTTTTCCTCCAGATGTAGACTTGTTTATTTGTAATTATATATCTCACTATACAGTGCGCGCTATGTTCGAAAACTGACCTTTCTTCTACAAACTCCCCTTATTGCTCTTTTCAAGCGGCGTCGAGAAGTGTTCGGACCGTCGTGAGCACACATTTCACGTTCTCATCAGACACAAAACCCGCTGACATTTCTTGTATATATCTTAGTAATTTTACGATATTTTGATTTAATTTCATGTGCCATTTCAAGATAAAACTTCAGGGAAACATGCATGTCTCAAAAAGTTGTGTTGAAATAACTCAATTCCCTGTAATCACTAATAAATTGCAATGTCCCCTGAGAGGGGACATCCGAGTGATATGCTAGAATTCCGATGACCCCTGAGAGGGGACAGCGGAGTGCAAAGGTTTAAGCTTCCTGTACATAAAACTATCACTAGAAACCTTTGCTATTTTATATTGATGTATATATATCTAAGTAAAAATAAGATGGTGCACTACTAATAAATGAAAACAGTGCAGTTTTTAATGTGGTTTCAAGGGAAGCTCTCAGCACCCATTTCCAATGAAAATGCCATCCTACTCTCTTATACAGAAATTTTGAGCTGCTATTTCTTCAATCTTTGTGACTTTCACTTTAAGTATCCCTACCGAAAAGAACAGTAACATACTTTTAGTCAAACACAGCCAGAGTTTCTCTATCAATGAATATGTACTTACAGTAGGGGGCAAAATAATGTTTACTTATTTTTTAGAGTATTTGATACAACAGGTCCAACAGTTTGCAAAATTATGTGTATAAGTCTATTCTCATTTTCGAGCTGATACGCCATGTAAGGGACAAGTATTATTTGGTTGTAAGTGTTCAACAAGTATCTTTTGAAGAATAGAATAAATGAAAGAAGTTTAGTTGTGTCTTTCTTGGGGGGGGGCTATAAGAAATTAATATGTAATTCTGGAACACAGAAAGATAAGTACATGATGAAGAAAAATGTGTGAGATAAACAAACTTGTAGTTAATGTACTTCAAATTTTAGAATTATAATTTTTAAACCTAATTATATTCTGAATCATCCTACCTGCTCACCTTCTTCTGCTCCTTATAAACATGTTCTAACAACCCAACCCCACTACAACCAGAGTGATCTTAAAACATAAATTAGATTGTGTCATTGGCTTACTCAGAATACTGCGGTGACTTTCCACTCAATTTAGGATCAAGCCCAAAGTAATTATGATGGCCCTGCATAATTTAGCTCCTGCTTTTCACTAATACCGCCTCACATTGCTTTTCCTTGGGCTAATTACAGTTTATTCACACTGGCTTTCTTTCAGTTCCTCAAAAAAGCTAACTGCTTTCATATTTAGCACCATCACCTTTAACAATAACCACCACCACCATTAAAGCTAACATTTATCATTATTATTATGTGACTGGTACTATGGTAAATGTTTCAAGTGCATTATCCTGCTTAATCACAAGAAACTATGATGTAGAAATTATCTTCATCCCTTTACTGTGGAGGAAACAAATATTTAGAGAAATTCATTCTCTAATGCAAGGTAAGTGGTCAAGAGGGGAAGCATGCTATAGAGCATAAGCCAGGGATGTGCCTTCTCCATATTCGTCCTTAACTCATACCACTCTCTGTCCATGTATATAATGTCCTCAAAACAGTCTCCTCTCATCCTCTAGCCTAAAGCTGGCATCTTTATCATAGTCCCTTAAACATTTCCTTCATAGAATATATCAGTTTATAATTACATATTTCCTTATATGATTATTTATGTCTGTCAAACCTCAAATAGAATAAACATTTCATGAAGGCAGGGATCATATATTCAACAAATGTGACTGAATAGCAATATAAATATCTAACGAATAAATTATTGAAGAAAGTTATTCATATCTTCCACTAATGATGTACTAAATCACTCTGTAGAAGAGTATGTCTGTTAGAAATTCTATTAAAATATCCTAGCTTATGGGAGAACTACAGGGAATATACATAAATGGAGAGCAATGATGTAAGAAAATAAAATTTAAATAAAAAGAGACAAAACTTGTAAGCTGATTACAGATTTGAGACATACAGCAGGGAAAGGGAGAGTGAGGGGTCAAAACAGGGAGGGAAGAGCACAAAGGACTGTGGTGATGGATCGGGGTCCTGGGAGAACTACAGGAACTACACCTGAGGGGAGAAATCAAATACTACCCCCAAATTAACAACAATGTGAGAAAATAAATTAATTTTAAAAATCCTGGTTTACAAAACAAAGTTGTTTCCTTAGAATATCTGTTCCTTTATGTATCTGTTAACAGATCCTAATTCTGGTCTCTTGACCAATAAGTGAAAAAGTACATTATTTTCTCCTCTGAAGCTCTTCAGACAGTTTTAGCCTAAAAAGTTAAAGAGCACGATTAAGGTGGGGTAATCCCAAATTTATTTGTACAAGATAGAATGCTAGAATGAGGATGATAAAGAGGACTTTTTTTGGAAAGTAGAGACTCATTTAAGGCACATTTATAGAAATTATTTCTTAGCCTACAGGAAGTGAATGAAAGGTATAGACAAGAAAGGTATAGATAAGAAACAAATGGGACTGCTGTGTTTAGCAAGCTGTGTCACAAATTGGGTTGCAATTGGTATAAATCTAGAAAGAAGTAAAATTGGAGTAGATCCAGTTAAAGGTAATTAAATGACTGTGCAAAAAGACTGGGAAGAGTATAAACTAGTTACTACCATTAACCTCAGATATCCCAAAATTACAAGGTTGATGCCATGAAATGCAACCATGTCATCCCATCTTGAGAGTTTTACTGTAACAGTATTCAGGATTAGAGGAACTACTTTAGTACTCCAGTTATTGAAATGAGGAAGCAGAAACCGAGTAAGCAACGTGCTCAAAGTTAAGTATGTATAAATTGCTAAATTGAGATTTAAATCAAGAACTAAGTATAAGACTAAAATATGAAATATCACTTAACATTAAACACAGCACATATCAAATGATCAATAAATGTTAATTTCCTTCCAATGATAGAAATCCCCAACCTGCAAAGGCAATCCATTTCCTTTTTGGAAAGAATGGATGATGGGTTCTCATACATTGTGGATCTAATCCAATACTACTAAGTAAATAACTTAGAAATTTGGTATAAATTTTATAAAAAGAGGTTCTTTATTGGTATTTTGGTCATTCTAGTTTATATATATATAAATATATATACATTCTAGTTTTTATATATATAAATATACATTCTAGTTTATATATATATATATATACACACACACACACACATACATACACACACATATAATTTTTTTCCTTCTTATTGAGTTGTGCCATGGAAAATAATTTGAGTGACCCAAGAGATTAAATATGAGTTAGAATTATATTTAATGAGGAGCCTTGAACTTCTTTTTATTGACATTTCCCTTTTCAAGTAAAGACAAGAACAAAAAGTTCATCTTCTAGTGGCTCATGATTAATTGACAATGAAATTTTTAAGATAAATGGATCTTCTTCCTATTTTTATTGATAATTAATGAGGAAAAAAGTATGAGTATCAGAAATGTATTACTGCTCTATTCTATGACCAGGAAATAAAATTGTTTAATTACTCAAGCTTATAAAATATTTTGAGAACGTTTTAAGTCATAAGAAGATAATAGGAAATTGAATTTTCTTATTTAATCTATTAAATGGTATTATTTTGTGACAGCCCATCACACTTAGTAAATAAATTCATTTGCTTTGCACTAAGTTACCACTTTATATAATTTGTTTGAGATTTTTTCTTTCCTTTTTTAAAATGAAAAAGGTTAAGGTCAAATTTAGATGGAAATTATCAGAACTAAAATTAATAACCAAATATTAGAAATAAGAATGTTCCCAAGATCACAAATATAATTTATATTGGGTAAAAATATCACAGATGAAGGATTCCGTCATTTCTCTTTTGTAAAGTAGGTTTATTTGTTACATCACAAAATAGTTAAATTAGCACTTGGATAAGAATTTTGTATTCTGAATTCTAAGCACAAGTGAGGGCTCAAATGATTCTTCTAATGCATACAGATGATTAAAAATATGAAAGAACATAAACTTACTATTTCACCAATCTTTCCAATGTTTCCTTGATCTCCTACTTCTCCCTGTTAAGAATATAATGTGACAAAAATGATTATTTTTCAAACAAGATTACTTATGACAAAGTTTCTGTTTTCATTTTAAGACAATCACCTAGTCATAACCTAGGCAAATGAAATCTCAATTACTCAATACCATTAGACTATTTCTCTGGAACATGGTCTATCCTCTACTTTCATTCAAGTAGTAACAATCTATTTTCTTAAACTGCATTCTTCAAATTGCAATTTCCAATCATTAAAAATATTTCAGATAAAAGTCAACTATACAGTAAAAGAAGGAATTGAACTTTCAGTGGTGAACTTAATGTAGTGTATACATATATTGATGTTTAACGATATACACCTGAAACATATAATGTTATGTGCAATATTATTTCCATTAAAATATTTTAGAAAGCTTAAAAATAAAATCTTCATTGAGGTACACCCAATAAAAGGCGAGTGGAAGTAGGCACTGTGGAAGCTATCAAGAAGGATAATATCCACAAAGATGATGTATTTGCTTCAAGAGATAAGACACCTTCCCAATGCTGAGAATATATGTCACAGGTAAAGGATTTCATAGCAGCAGACACTCCTGTGGGCTTGAGAAGTTGAAGCTGGCTTTCCAGAAAACATACTATATGCGCAAAACCTTACCTGCAATTCTGTAGCCCATAAGGCTCTGAAAACTCAAAGTATGTCAGAACTCAGCCAACTTTGCTTACCCTGAATCAATTTGGTAGCAATGCCTTACCTGACCTGGGTGAGGGAATTTATATTCTTTTTTTTTTTGATATATTTTTTGATACTTTATTTTATATAATTCTTACATCATTTTTCATTTTTGCATAATGTATGCATTTTCATTTTGGTTATATTCCCCATACAATTCCCACCCCCTTTTTCTAACCCTAATCCCTCTTCTCCTCCCCCCACCCCCCACTGTAGTGTGTCTCTGGTCTATAGTTGCTTGTTGATTTTGATTTTTACTTTATTGCAATTAGTCTTTTTCCTGGTCCCTTATTTAGGTTTTCTAAATTCTTGCTATGAGTGAGACCATCCAGTATTTTTCTTTTTCTTTCTGGCTTATTTCGCTGAGCATGATCCCTTCCATCTCCATCCATGTTGCTGCAAAATGCATGAGTTTATCTTTTTTGATTGCTAAGTAATATTCCATTGTGTATATGTACCTCATCTTCTTGATCTAGTCATCTATTTTGGGGCATTTGGGTTGTTTCCATAGCTTAGATATTATAAATAGTGCACAATTTATATTCTTATTTTGGTTATTCAGAACAACTTTTTATTTCACTGCAGAAATACTAACATGACTAATTGTGCATGGTGAGCTGCCCTACATCTGGTGGTGGTGTTGAGTAAAATACAGAGAATACACCATATTACCTTGTGAAAATCTAAATATGAGTATTTTTAAATAATGGATTATGAAAGTATCTTAGATTTGGTCCCTGAATAGATGATATACTGATGAGAAAGGGCCAATTTTGATGCTGAGGAATGGCAAAAGCATAGGTCAAATAAAGACAATGATAATGAAAGATATATAATTAAGTTCAGGGTGCCACATACATGTATGACACGAACATACATTTTGTTTAAAGAAATAGAATATTAACCATCCATTACTTCCTTAAGATTAATAATTATATTTCAGTGTGGAGTAGTAAAATGCATTAACAATATTGTAACCAATACTGGCATGTAGCTACCTAGCATGGGAAATGGCCTAGTTTTAACTGAAATAAGTAATACAGAATAGATTTCAAAGATTTTGCACAAAAAGGAATATATCTCATTAATAATTTTAATATTGGTTATCTCTTTAAATGGTAATATTTTGTAATCTTCAGTTAAGTAAAATACATTACTAAAATTAATTTCACCTCTTTCTTTTTTCTTACTTGTGGTTAAAATGATTCATTTTATTGGATAGTGCGATCTTAAACATTGAAAGCTAATTAATATTCATGGAGTAATCAATTTGAAATAAACTTTCAAAGACCTCAAATTTTCTTTTCAATTCTGGCATACATTTACATACATAATAAAGAGTGAAACAGGAGAGTAAAACCTTTTTTCTAATTGACAGCTCACTTATTAGACAATTTTTACAGAAAATTTGTGGAAGGATACTACATAAATTGTTAATGTTCTTGTACTTATGCCTCCTTACCCAATGCCCTTGGGTATTTCCAGCAAATGAGATGAACCCTTCCTTTGTGCCATTAGTCAAATAGGAAATCTACATTAAGAAGCAGAAAGCAGAGGTTGCCTGCAGAATTATCTGCATTTTTGTTGTAGTTTTCAGAGAGTTTGAGGTAAGAGGTGAGTTGGCTTTGAGGACAAGAGAGAGAGAGGAATATTTCCTCAACTCTAGGAAGACAGTACCTAGGATTCCGTCAAAGGGGGTGACCCTTTCCTAACTCCCAAGGACTTTCCCAGGAAATCCAGATGCCCCTGAGGGAGTGCCAGGTTCTACTGAATAGATAGATGTATGAAGCAGTAAGACAGAAATTTCAGGGGCAAGTCGTAGGACTGAACATTAAATAAGTTGCTTCATTTTCTGGGTAACACAAAGCCCCCTGATGCTGTTGTGAATCTAGGGGAGAAGATAGGATGTCAATAATGATTGATACTGTTTGTCGCCAGTATGACTGGATATTAGCGCACAGAAGTTTTTTGTAGAACTACTTGGCAGTACAGAGATCACAGAGCTAAATCCTCATAAAGTAGAATTAAGTTTATAAAGAGCGAGGTTCTATTGTGTGGTTGACTCTCACTTGAGAGTCATTACATACACTGTCCCAGGATCATTTCAGCCACAGACAGATATGGTGACACATTAAAAAATATTTTAGCTCATATTTCTTTACTAACTGACCTTGAAATGTGTTTAGCTTTTCTTTAAATTCTAGTAATATGAAAGTTATAGTTTTATTTAATTTTTTTATTTTTATATTCCCCGTACAATTGCACCCCCCCTTATTTTGACCCCAATCCCTCCTTTCCCCACCCCCACCTATAGTTTTATTTTAAAGAACTCTAGCTTTAGGAAATGTAGCAATAGTGCTGTTATTTCTCAATTTTTTGTTAAATTTTAAATTTGTATAAATTCTTATTAGCAGTTTCTTTCAGACCTTAATGCTATACACATAAAACTATCATACTACTTGATATTTGTTGGTGTCAGAAAAAGTCATATAAAACTTACATACAGGCATACAAAAGCAGGTGACACAACTTTTAATGTCACAGAAGGGTGAACACCACCCAGTGATTATCTATAGAATGTACTTCATTTTCTACTGGGAGTTAGATTCACTGTATGCTATAGGGTAAGGACCCAGAGACTCAAAGAAGTTACATTAACTTGCAGGTTTCTGTGCAGTAGAATAGGCAGCCCCCAATTTTATGATTAACTGTCCTATATTTAACCACAAATTTTATCCTAACATTTCTTTATTAAGGAATGCTTATTATTTCATATCTATTAAAATATATAAATATATAGCTTCTCAAATGTTATTTGAACCAGTCTGAGCATATTATTAGCATCCTCATTAATGAGTTGAATAAAATATTGAATGTGTTCATTTTATATTTCTGAGTCATAATTTTTTATTTAAAATTATTCTTCATAACTGGTAATAAAATTAGTTGCTTTACCTTTAAACCTTCTGGTCCAGGTTCTCCTCCATACCCTTTTTGACCTGGTTTCCCCTAGAAAAGAACAGATTAAAAGATAAAGAAGACATATTTAATCATTCTCATAGTGACAATTTCCTAAGATTTATGAAATTTATCCTTGAGATGAATCACTGGAAAACTATTTGATATATAGATTCAATCATGTCAATTAACTATTCACCTGCCTTCATAGAGCCTGCATTTAGTGAGGATGTCATAATTAAAAAATAAGTAAAATATATGGTATTAGGTAGTGGTATATGTGAAGGACACAAAATTAAGCAAGGAAGGAAGATATAAAATGTGGGAGGTTTGCTGATTTTTTTTTAAAAGATTTATTTATTGATAAAATAGCTAAGGTACAGGCCAGAGGCACAGGAAGGTGAGAGGATTCACCAGAGACAGAGCGGGGAGCAAAACAGGCAGATGACCGAAATACACTGCTGAGGGGAGCAGCAAGCAAGACAGGACAGGTCTGCCGCTCCATGTGGGTAGTTACCTGGCTGGCCGGGAATCAAGCCCATGCTTCAGAAGCCACGGACAGCCTCACGGTGCTGCGCTCAACCCGCTGCACCACCAGGGAGGCCCTGCCGAGATTTTTTTTTATAAGACTACCAGGGAAGACCTCACTAAGAAGGTGGCACTTGAGTAAACTTTTTTTTTAAGATTTATTTATGCATATAAGAACTGGGGGACAGGCCAGAGGTGTGGGGATGGTGGTGAGGGGATTCACCAGAGACAGAGTGGAGAAAAGAACAGGTGGATTGACTGAGATACAATGCTGAGGGGAGCAGCAGGCGAGTTAAGAAAGGTCTGCAGCACCATGTGGGTCACCTCCCTGGCCGGGGATCGAACTCGTGATGCAGTGGCTGCAGACAGCTTCATAGTGCTGCATCTTAACCCCTTGCATCATCAGGGAGGCCCCAGCACTTGAGTAAACTTAAAGGGGCAAGTTACATAGATATCTGAAGAGAGAAAATTCCAAGGAGAGAAATCCTGTGCAAAAGCCCAGAGGCAAGAATGTGCTAGAGCAGAGTAAGTGAGAAGAGGAAATAAGGCCAAAGAAGGGAGAGGCGAATAGGAAGTCAGGTCATGGAGAACCTGGTACATTAGTTAAGGGTTTTGGCTTTTACTCTGAGACATGAAGACTAAGACAAGTCTTGAGACAGAAAGTGCCATGATGTATGTTTTAATAGGATCACTTTGCTGGAAGAGCAGAAGCAAGGAGTCCAGCAAAAAATCCACAGTAATAATCCAAGTGAGAGATGACAACACAAATATCAGGGCAGCAGCGAGGGGACTGTGGAAAGGGATAAAATTATTTTTGTAGTTTGAAGGCACATCTTCTAGAAATTGCTGATAGGTCATGTGTGGAATGTGAGAGAGAGATAAGAGTCCAGAATAAATTTAAGATTTTTAAATCTGATTAAGGGAAAAAATGAAATAGGACAGACTATGGGAAGAACAGATTTGGAGGGCAAATTGGAAGCTCAGTTTTGATAATTACATTTGATGGTCTTGTTCAACATCTAAATAGAGATCTGGTAGTAGTTATACTAGCCCAGAGTTCAGGGGGCAGAAGGTTTTGATCTGATCATGTAATTTAGGAAGTCACCAGTATTTGCATGGTAGTTAAAGCCAAAAGACTGGACAAAATCATCTGGGTAGTAAGTGTTGATAGAAAAGAGAAGTCTGGAAACCAAATCTTGGATCACTTCACAAAGGTAGAATTTGAAGAAATGAGGAAAATATTCGAATTTCGTGTTGGAGGTTTAGGAGGAAGTTCATGCAAATGAAGAAACTGCTTCCAAAAAGAAAGAGCAATCTTGTCAAATTCTGAAGGGTATCATAATGAAGTAATGTGAAAATTAAGAAACGATCATTGGACTCAACAGCATGGAGATCACTGATGATATTTGTAAGATCATTTGTTTTAGGGTAGTGGGGACAAACATGGTTTCAACAGGTAGAAGAGGAGAAAAACTGAAAAAAATTTTTTTTTCTATATAACCCTTGAGAAGTTTTGCTGAAAAGGGAAGGAGAGTTCCCGCCCCCTGGAGAGAAAAAACTAACATCAATACATTTTGCTTTTACACTGAAAGAAATAGCATATTTATGTACTGACAAGAGATCCATCAGAGAAAAATTAATATGCAGGAGAGTGGGAAGAATTGTTGGATCGATGATTTTCAATTAGGCAGAGGATAAGAAATGTAGAAAACAAGTGAAAGTTTTGACATCAGCTAGAAAAAATGGTTTGTTCTTCCACACTAGCCACGGCGAAGGCAGAGTGAGTGGCCTAGATACAGGTATGTGGATAGGAGCAATGGTAGAAACTTGTGGAAGCTTGCTCTGATTATTTCAGTCATCTCAGAGAACTGGGGTGTAAGATAAAGGGCTAAGAATGGGGATGAGAGAAACATGAATAGAGTTGAGGAAAGTGAAAAAAAAATTAGAAAAGTTAAAAATGTAAATAGGTTGGGGACATTATTCAGAATATAATCAAAGGGATAATTATAATGTGTGAAACAGGATGAGGAAGCATGTGAGGTCTTGAAGGGCATAGAAAGATGGAAAGGTCATACAGTCAGTGAGTTGAAATTTCTATTGGGACTGATGGAATTTGTTACAAGAGAGAATAAATTAGAAAGGAAGGGGACAGTAGTTAGGGAGAGGAAAGCTGGATATTGAAATTAAGACTAGATTGCTGTTACCAGTAATGACAAGGTAGAGGGCATGATCACAGCAGTTAGCAACTGAAGAGAGTAGATCATCACTGGACTGGATGGAGTCAAAATCTGGGATACTGGGTAGACTGACCATGGTTTCTAATATCAAATAACTGAAATCTGATTACGCAAGATTTGATGGAGATCAATATGCATCATCTAATGTGTATGACAAATTCAAATCAATGAATAAAACATGGAACAGGAGAGACTGTGAAACAGAACACCAATTTAAAATATCTGCTAGGCATTATAGAATTATATTTTATTATTGGTATCCATAAACCAACACTCTATTTTCTTTCTTTTAACAAAAACAAAACAATGCACTGGCTGCCATTCTGTTTTAACCACACAAAAGTTCCCTAGTAACTTAACTTATATAGAGTATTTCTACCCAAAGAGTTATTTTGATTTCTGACTCTGCCTTGCTTCAATTTGTGCAATGGTTTCCTACCAAACAGAAATTAGAGCGAAGAATCAAAAGACAAAATTGTCAAATATAAATTATCCTGCAATCAATTAACAGTTTTAGGACAAGAAATATAGTTAAGAGTCAAAATTATTAGATTTGTCTATGATGTTCACAAAAAATTTTAGTAATACACTTCTATTCACAGTATTTGGAAAGCGGTTTAACAACATCATTTCTTTCATCGTTAATAACATAAATCTCATTCAAGAGGCACTGCAACATACTAAGAAATAGTTACACATTATATCTATATTATGGGAAAAAAAATCTCACTAGAATGTGCTAGAAGTACATTTATAATTTCTGAAATCCAGCACTTCAGTCTGGTCAGTATTGAAGTTTTCATTTCCGGTCCTGTTACACACTGTAACATTAGGTTTTTCTAGACAAAGCTATCCTTGAGCATATAAAATTGAAGTTTTATTTTCACACCTAAACAATTTGGACAATATCTTGTATGGTTATTTTTTGGATTAGAGGGGACTCATGTTACATAGAGCACTACTGGGCCTAAATTGATCTTCAACCAATTGTAGCAACAAAAATAGTATGAACAGGCAAAAGGTGAATGTGATTCTCTTTTTTTCTAGGGAAGTAAATTTAAAATAAAAGATCCATTTTACTGGGCTCAAATAACAACAGTTTTTCTGTTATATAACTCACCTCACAAAAAATGAAATAAAAATTCTTCTTTTCTTTCAATGGGATAGTGGCAGTATATGTGCTAGTGAGGTAAAGGTGCAAAAGAAAGAATTACTGTCTCCTTAAATGTAAAACTGTTTAAGAACCTGTAGTTATGATTTTCTCAAGAATGATGTAGTTCATGGATCTAATAATGCTTCTTAAAATAAATGTGATGTACACTCCAAATAACATCACAATAATGTAAACTTTGGTCATGTATACACAAATTCTCAAAGAATTCTTTTCAGAACTTAAAAACAAGTAGTTTATATGTTACCATGCAATATAATCTGAAGAAAAAGTTGGCTGAAATCACATCTTACTTACTGAAATCACATCTTTCCATCATTTTACTTGTACATTTAGAAAACAGATTCCTACAATATAGCTAAAAGGTTAAGGTATTTAGCCTCCTATTTCATTTTGAGACACTATTAATAATTTTCAAATTATTGATACCATAAAATCACTGAAGAAAAAGTAAATATGTAGTAGGTATAATAATACAAACTATCAGGGAACGTTCCAGTTATAGGAAAATTTTATTTGGGGGAAGTGCAAGACTGTATTTCAATTTTTGTCTTTTGCTATAATTTAAAATTTGGTGCTATTCAAAACATTTACAGAACGGTTGTTTTAAGAGAATCACTTTTTGAAAATCATTTATATGATACATACTCTTGGTCCCAGTTCTCCAAAGGGTCCAATAGGTCCTTCTTCTCCCTTAAAAAAGGAATGAGAACATATCATGGCCTGAAATAAGCATTTAAAAATGAAAACCCTAATTCTTTTTCTGAAATATGAGCTCATTTTGATTTTGTGAGAATAATGCTGTGATTTTCTTATATTTAGAATTGCATCGCCCTGTAACACTTTAATTTTTGTGTGTGTGCTAATCCCATATTTATCCTAAAGGGATACTTATTATTGGCTCATTTTTAAATTGATGATATAAATAAATAGATGATATAATCTATACATAGAAAGCTGATACTAGATAGGAATGAAAGTGATTAGGGTATCACAAAATCAGGATTAAGAATTACTGAGACCCTGAATTAAATATAACCTTTATTTTCTTGGATTTATTCTCCATTTGAGAGAGGAACTCAAATTCATAATAGAAATCAATACATATTAGCATATTAAAATATTATTGCTAAAGAAAATGTTTGCCATTGGAAGATTTTGATTCCTCCTTAATTCAACAAACACATTGTGAGTCTAAATTCTGTCTTAAGCCTTAAAGATACAAAGGTATATGGAATCCTACCAAATGGGATTCACTGCCTATCGTTTCTTCTTGTCCAGTTTACATGTGCAATATTCTTAAGGTCAAATCAGTTACACAAATCATAAATTTTAAATCTTTGGAATTATTCTAAGGATAAAACTGTATAGGTGATTAGAGAATAAAGGATAACCAAAAAAATTCAAATACTTATACATTAGTCTTTATGAAAATAAAAAGTAACAGGTTTTTATTTCATTTATTGACACATTTTCTAAAAAATGCTCATTTTCACCTTTAAATAGTTGATACCACATTATGTTACCACACTATGGTACCACAACATTAGGCCATTAATTGATGAATACTACCTATAAATCTCTCTAGAAGCATTTATTTGATTTTATTTATCTGATTAACATTTTGCTCAATTTTCAATTCAATTTAAGAATTTATTGTGAAATCATCTTCTATGTCAATGTTCAATATTTGTCTTTGTCATTTTGACTTGCTTTACTATCATTCTCTCAAACCCTTCCATTTTGCTGTAAATGGCAACATTTCATCTTTCTTTATGGCTGAATAGTATTCCATAGTGTAGAGAGGTCACATCTTCTTAATACAGTCTTCTTTGTATGGGTATTTAGGCTGCTTGCATGTCTTAGCTATTGTAAATACTGCTGAAATAAACATTGTCGAATATATAGGTTTCCAAGTGCTGAGGAATATTGGTAATAGGGGATGTTGTGCATGTGGAAAGAGGAAGTATAAGGAGAATTTCTGTACCTTCCTATCAATTTTGTTATAAGCCTAAAACAGCTCTAAAATATTGTGTTAAAAAATATTCTTGTGATAAGCCATCTATTCCATTTTTGCCTTAAAAATGACCTTGGAAGAGAGAAAACCACAACCAACACTGAATATTTTGAAATGGATGTGTCAGCTGGCAGTGGGGGTCTCCATGACCCAGACCCAGCACAGGTAACTTTCACTAAAATATTATTCATACATAAAGCTTAATGTGAGTTTCCTATTATTCCATAGCACTCATAAGTCAAATTATCCAATGACAAAAACATGTCATTCATTATCTTGCAAGTAGAAAATAGGCATAAAGATTAAATATAAATTCTAGTATACATTAGTGAAATTCTGGGCTCAGAGTTTTCTGATATTCCAATGAGACCACTGACATAAATCAATGAATTCAGAACACTGTAAAATGATTCCAAGTCCCATTCCAGAACTTCCAGTATAAAATGATAACTTGAAATCATGCATGGCAAAAATTCTCCACACTAAAGCATGCTTTCTTTAAGCAAAAACTAAAGCCTCACAAAAAAGGGGGGAAACTAAAAAAATTGCTGACAGGATAATTATTTCCTCCATACCGGTGTTCCTTTGAGACCAGGAGGTCCAGGAGGCCCTCTGTTTCCAAGGAGTCCCTGTAAAGGCAATGCAAACACACACATTAATAAATGTTTTTTTCCAATCAGCAATAATCTAGAAATTGGCAATACTATTTGGGTAAAGTTATCAAAGGTACCTAGTCATATCTATAGAAGCAGAAAGCAAAGTGTTGGTTGCCAGGGACTGGGGGAGGCAAAAGCAGGGAATTGCTTTTCAATGGGTATAGAGTTTAAGTTAAACAAGGTGAAAATATTCCAGGGTTCAGCTGTACAATAATAATGTGCATATAGTTAACAATACTTTACTATTCATCTAAAAATTTGTTGAGAGATTTAGATTTCAGGTTATTATGCTTTTTTACCACACAAAAAAATCTGTGAGCTTATTAGCATTCAGACCTCTCAACGTTTTATTTAAGATCTACCTCAAATTTTTTTAAGTCAGGTAAGTTTACCTCTGCCTTCCAACCTTGGGTTCTTATTTAACCTGTTGCATAGAATCTCTCATTCCTTAGTTCCACCTGGGTAAAACCAACCCATCCAACTCAAATCCCAATTCTCTATGAAGTTTCTCAGAAAATTGGAGACTTAAATTATTCTCTCCATGAGTTCCTTATTAGTCACTTATCATGTGTTATCTAGTTATGCTTTTTTTTACTTTTTAACATGTGAAAATCTCATCTTTCCAGAAGATTACAAGTTCCTAATAAGCAAACGGTAATGTAATGTTTTAATCTTGTTTGCAAGTAATTGCTTAACCAGCACACTGTCCATAATACAAAGAGAAAAAATAATTCCCAGCTGACTAAATGCTGCCTAGAGAACAAAATGGTCAATACAATAAATCTGCATATAAAAATCTTGATTTAGTGTATGGAAGGTAAATATTTAGGGCTGATTGAGGTTACCTACAACTTTTTAGAGTTATGCATTTTCCTCTTATCAAGTTAGTTCAATTTTGTGCAGATAAACACACATTTTAATAATTCAGTGTAAAAAGTTATTTTCAGGTAGCATGTAACATAGTCTCACATAGTCTCTCTAAAAATTTATCGGGGATGCTATACATCAGACAGTAATAGCCTATTGTGTCATCCCTAATCCCATAATATAAGTAACATCACAAACCATTATAGAAACAAATAAATTATTCCTCTGTTTACTGGAGAATAGACATATTTATTGGGTACTCGCTTTCTGCAGCAAGCAGCTAAGGATGATGTGGTTTTACTAATGTTATGTGATGCTTGAAAGCAGATTGCAAATTGGGTAGCTCTCAAAAAGGCTTGCTGAAGTATGTTTTGTATCTATATACATATATACATATACACACAATCCCACAATCAACAGAACTGTAATTAAACCAAGCTTCCAATCGTAGTTTGGGATTTTTAGTCAACTGGCAGAAAATGAAGAGAAAAATAAAAGGTTTCTTTAGAGCTGTGCCAAATTTCTCTGGAAAGAACCCAATTTGTTTGCAAACAGAGTAAGCATGCATTTCAAATAGAATGCACATGATACCCATTATGTTTAGGCTAAAACAGAGCTTGAGTAATGTATTTTGCGTCACTTTCCAAATACCATAGGTATAGGAAAGTAAAGGAAGCCTTAAGATACTTCCATGATCCATAACATATAATGCTAATAGTGTCAGTATGTTTGGCTCTGCTTTTCCTTTCTGCTTCTAGAAACAATTTCAAGTCAAATAGTAAGGAGCAAGAATAGAGACAAAAAACAGAGCCTTCGCAACCTACAAAACAAAAAATCATATTCACTTTTCTTTAAAATTTTATGGATCTTTTGATAAAATCATCTGAGATGTTCAAAAAAATCTTAGGTGATCAGTATAAAATAAATGATCAGTATAAAAATCAGAGTTTCATGATATTGGTGCTGATTGGAAGCTCATGTTTAATGAATAAATTTCGATAAAGCAAACCACAGAACAATAATCATCCAGTGGAAATTCAACCACCGCTACCCATTAAAACGTCTGGCTTTCTGGTGTTTTATCCCACTTTTATGAATTGTAGTTTTAAAACTAAACAAAATAATAAAAAGGAAGCTTAAAGATAACTAAAGTAATAATATTCAAGAAATCAGTCAACTTCTTTAGTTCTCTGGCATTTTTGAGGGGGGAGGAGGTCTAAAACTTTAAGTGAAACAAAATTTCCAAACTTAAAATGCTTTAGAAATCCCTCTGGTTCTTCACCATGCAGCCTTAAAAACATTAAGTTCAGTTATCACTTCCTCTTGAAGTAATTCCCAATTTCCTAAGACAGATCAATTACCCAAAATTAGACCCTTTGAGCACTTGATTAGCTCTTTGTTTTTTAAAGATTTATTTTATTTATTTAAGCATACAAGAGCTGGGGTATAGGCTAGAGGTGTGTGTGTGGGGGGCAGGCAGTGAGAGGATTCACCAGAGACAGAGTGGGGAGTAGAACAGGAAAATTTACTAAAATACATTGCTGAGGGGAACAGCAGGCAAGACAGGAGAGGTCTGCTGTGCCATGTGGGTTAGCTCCCTGGCTGGGGATCGAACTCGTGATGCAGTGGCTGCAGATAGCTTCAGAGTGCTGACACTTTACCCCTTTTGCCAACAGGAGGCCTTAGACCAGCTCATTTATACAGCAATTTTTATGACTTTTTATAAACTGAAACCTCATCCATCAGAGGAATTAGAGTTTAGAAATCTATATGATCCCACATTTAGTACTTCACCTAGTATATAAAAGAAACTCAGTAACTATTAAATGGATACTTTTTTTTTTTAAAGATTTATTTTTTATTTGTTTATACAAGCACTGGGTACAGTCAGAAGCGTGGGAGGGTGAGAGAATTCACCAGAGCCAGAGCGGGGAGCAGAGCAGGCAGAAGGACCAAAGTACACTGCTGAGGGGAGCAGCGGGCGGCAGGAGAGGTCTGCGCGCCATGTGGGACCCTCCTCCGGTGGCCGGGGAGCAGCCGGGGATCGAACCGGCGCTGCAGAGGCAGCGGGCAGCTTCGCAACCCAGCGCTCAACCGCTGTGCCACCGGGGAGGCCCTGGATACTTTTTTTTAAAGATTTATTTATTTATTTATACAAGCACTGGGTACAGTCAGAAGCACAGGAGGGTGAGAGGATTCACCAGAGCCAGAGTGGAGAGCAGAGCAGGGAGACTGACGAAGTACACTGGCGCTGCAGAGGCTGCGGCAGCTTCCCAGCCCAGTGCTCAACCACTGCGCCACTGGGGAGGCCCTAAATGGATATTTATTGAATGGAGAAATGAATGTGTTTATGTATGTATGAAGTTCAAGTTCCAAAGTATACAGCAGGTGAAGGGCTAAACAAGAGAGAACTTTTCAGCTCCCTTCTCTACACTATCCTCCGCCCCCAACCACTCTCTCAGAATCCCTTTCTACTTCAGGTATGGTTTAGACATTGATTATTTCGACCTATATATTAGATAGATACAGGTGTCCCCTGCTCTCCAAAAGTAGCATTTTCTTATGAAACCACCATAAATTGAAACGGCATTAAGCGAAGAAGCAATTACCATGAATTCATATGGAAAAGTTGTTGAGAGTTCCCAGCACCAAAAACTAAGGTACAAATAACACACAAAACCCAAAATGATCAAAACAAATATTTGTTTATAAATAGTAGATAAAAGCTGGAATGACATGATAAATACACAGCTTTTATAAAGTAGTGCCTGAGGAAAGAGCTTGGCAGCCCCACGCTCGCTGCTCAGGGCATACTGCATCTGATGGCTCCCCGCAGAACAAATGCTGAATTCTATTTCACTACTTGCCTTATGTCACAAAGACAAAGATATTCTTCAGATTTCTTTCAGTTAGTGAAAACAGGAACTAATGTAGGGCTTTGGTAAAAGTAAAGTGGCATGAGACAAATTTTTGAAAAGTGGGGGTTATTTGAATACTGGAATCAAACTTCTTGTCTTTCCTATCCTCTGAACCTGCACCTCCTCCTGATTTTTCTACTTAAGCCAATATATTAAGACTCAACTCAGTCTATTCTGTCTTTGACTTCTCTTTATCTGTTCACTTTCACCTAATCAGTACATAGTCATATTGTTTCTATTTCCATAACAGCTGTTAAATACAGTCATTCAAACAATCATCCAATCATCCAGTACTTATTAATGTTCCTGTGATGCCCTATGGCTATAATTATGGTTATATGGTATGTATAAAATCAGTCTCTTTTCTCAGAAAGCTGACAGCCTAATAGCTAAGAAAATCAGAAGTTATAATATATGAAGATTAAGTGCTTGGTTATTTTTTTCAGGAATACAGAGAAGGAACCTCTCAATTGGAAAGAAAAGGGAAAGCTTCCTGAACAATGTGTTATGTGATGTGTAGGTATTAGCTCAATGAAGAAGGGCACAGGAAAGCAGGGAGGTATCCAGAGAAAAAGATTAGCATGCAAGGAATTGTGAGGTTTAAACAAGCAAGGCATGATTGGGTACTCTTAACTAGAATCTGGAGTAATGCTTTTGGAAGACTGGTGCATCAAAGTTACATATGGGGCTAGAGAATAAGAGAGGGTAAAGAATCTTGTGTGAGGTACTGGGGGGCCTTGGTGGTGGGCATGGTAGCACCCCACTGAATAGCTGGGAGCCTATATTTCTGAATCTGAATCAGATACAGTATTTCTGAATCAGATACAGTGTTTAAAACCAATGTTGCCTTAAAGAAAATTATTTAAAAAGAAAAAAAATGACCCTTGTGTGTGTAAAAAAAAAAATAAAGAAGTACAAGAGTTAACCTAAAATCTATGGAAATCATGGAAGGGTTTACGCACAAGAATGACATGATGAGATCTATACTTTACAGAGATTATTCCATCATCAGCTAGGTAGATTTGAAGGAATGCCAGACTGTAGGCAGCAAGAACAATTGGAGGGCTATTATTACAGTAATCTTGGTGAAAAGCAAAGAGGGTCGAAACCCTAACATTGGCAGCAGAATGATTTTAATGGCAAAGAGGGGAAATTCTGAGCAAAAGAAGAGATCAGGATAAAGGAGATAATTGATGGCCTGAGGTCATTCCAGTGTCAGGAGAGGGTTTGATGTAAGACTTTATATAGAATTTGAATGTTGAATAGGAAGAATACTTCTATGGAAACAGGAAAAAAGAGAACTGTCACTATATATAGGCAAAGCTTAGGCCAAATAAAATACATGACGTTCAATTCAATATGAATTTAACATAAATAATGAATGACTTTTATTACAAATATGTTCCAAATATTGTACCTCCATCCTCTCATAAGTTTCCTTTTCCTGAATGCTAGACATCGCACTGTCTGTAAATTCCGATTCATTTATCATGTGAACTCAACTGCTAGTTTCTCTGTTATCTGAATACCTTAAAGCTGTTCTCTTGCAGTATTACATACTCTGTATTATTCATATGGTCATTAGAGAAAGGTTTTCTTGTGTATCTTCCTCTAGATTTTAAGTTTCTTGAAAGTCAGCATAAGGACTTTTCATCTTTGTTGCCCTAGGGTATATACAGTACATTGGCTGTCACATAAGCCAGTCAGTATTTGCTGACATAATGAATGTTCTATTTCAGATCTTTATAACTTCCCTCCTAACTTTTTCTACCTCATCTCCATGTTTTCAATTTCTCTCCTATTTAAACTATATCCCATACTGACATGAAAGGTATCTTTTTAAAACATAAAAATCTGGGCCTCCCTGGTGGTGCAAGGGGTTAAGATACAACTTATGAAGCTGTCCGCAGCCTCTGCAGTACAAATTTGATCCCCCAGCTGGCCAGGGAGCAACCCATGTGACACAGCAGACCTCTCCTGGCTCACCTGCTGCTCCCCTCAGCAGTGTATTTTGGTTAATCTGCCTGTTCTGTTCCCCGCTTTGTCTCTGGTGAATCTCACCCCCCACACCTCTGGCCTGTACCCCAGCTCTTCTATGCACAAATAAATAAATCTTTTTAAAAAAACACATAAATCACCCAGGACACTTTACTACTTCAATATATTTGATTACTTCAGGATGTTCATGGAGCAAAAGACACCACAGACTTTAATTTTAATCTGTGGTTATTTTATGAGCCCTAAGGGCTACACTGGTCAGAAAAATCTCTTCCATCTGCTTTTTTCCCACAAATTCCTTTTCAGTGATTTATAAATATTGTCACCCTTAGTCTAAGTCCATACCAAACCAGGAAAATCATTTCTAATGACCTGAACCCAAAAGACTGGATAACTTGCTCTAACTAAACAAACACTACTGGGGGAACCAGAGGTACAAATTGTTTCCTGATTATCTGGGAAAAAGCTGTATAAAGTTTATAAAATGCACTCAAGATAGCTCAAAATTATCTGGAAATGTTCTGATATTCCTAAAGTACTTTCCATAATCATGGTGATATGAGATCTGACAACTCTAGATAGCATACATTTTCTGTTTTTTCCTTCATTTTTCTTTACCTTTGATCCTTCAGGGCCATTTTGCCCAGGAATCCCAATATCTCCTGGAAAACCCTAGGAAACATAAAAATGTACAGTTATAGGAAATTACTTTAAATCTACTAAAGCATATCAAATTTCCCTTTGCCTTTATTTCATACTCAAAGTAACTTAAACACCTCACTAACTCAGTTTTAAAGATTAAGATAAGCAGTTAACATTGGAACACAAAACTGACAAAGTTCCCTAAAACAGAGCATCCTTTATCAGTTACATACCAACAATCCTCATACCCAAAGGAAATGTTCTAGTACAATCTAAGAGAGAAGAGTCTTATTCAAAAGTCATCCACAACTTGGACAAGAAGTGACTGGCCTTTTCAAAGTGACATGGGGTAGGAGTCACCTGAGGATTTGGGGACTGCATACTGTAGACTGTTTACTAACTACATGTTAATTATTGTAGGTTTTGGTCAGGTGGACATGCAAATAAACTCTCTCTGATGAAAAAATAACCCCAAAGGTTATGCCTTTATACAAGACATTATACAAGACATTAATCAATTTTGTATGTAACTCAATTATCTTGTCCTAACATTCCCATTTTTGCTTATAAATATTTCTGAGTTCCTTAAATACTTTTGGAACTTGCCTATACATTCCACTGGTTTCATTCTTAATTAAGGAGTTGAGTGCATTCTTGACCCATGTTTACATTTTTCCGAGAATCATGAGTTTACTTTTTTGGAAATTATACTTTAGCAATCTAAAACAACAGGCTCAAGAAATAGAAACGGACTATAATATTAGCACTTAACTCTATGCTGCAAAAGACTTGTAATGTTATCTAAATTAGCCATTTCCAAATTCTTGCTGATATAATAAATTATAGTGTGATTCAATGTGATCAATTTCATAATAAGCAAATAATTGAAACTTTATTTGTATTAATTTTGTCACGAAGTTATTTCAGAGATGCTCACTGCCATGGACAAAGGAATAAAAAGATAAGAATCAGCATCTTGAAAAGTAAAACTGATTGCCATTAAAATATAAATATGAGGTTTAAAAGGTAGCTCAGTGAAGGGGTAAATGTGATGTAAATAAAAATCACCACAGGCAAGACAGAACAGCAAAGGCTGAATCTGGAATACTCATTTTGGGGGGAAAATGAAAAGAAAATGTTAGCAACTCATCTAGTCTGGATTAGGACAGAAAATGCCTTCACTATTTGTATATAATACAACTTAAAAATTATTTATCTGATAATTTCATATCCTTTCTCTTTAATGTTCCCTGTGTTCATAAGTTTAGTGAGGGCAAAACCCTGTGAAATTGAATCATGACACTTCTGTTCTAGTTCCTGCTGTAACACTAACTAGTTATCTAAAATAGAACTCATGATCTCTCTCACATGCCTGTTCTTCCTTCCTCCTGTATTTAAGAGAATCTTCCCACTGACCACCAGTTTCCAATGCAAAAAAGCTATATATCACCTTTGAACACATTTTTTCCTTACCACTATTACCACCACTTCCACCATTCATTGAGCTCCATCAATTCCACCTCCAAAATCATTGTCAATTTCCTACAGGCCTCCACTACCATTACACAGGTCACCATCCTTTGCCTCTCAGCTATTTTTTCTTGCTTTTATTTGTGACAGATTATTTTCACTCTGAAGCCAGACTAAATCTATGAAAACGATCATGCTACTTTGTTACTAAATTCAGAATACAATGAATAAAATCCAAATTCCTTAATACCTGGCTTAGAGGGGCCTTCATGAATTGATCTTGATTTACCTCTCTATTCCCTACACCCAATACTCGAGCTACTGAACAACTGTAACACTTTGAAAATACAAAACCTATTTCACTTCCGGGCTTCCATATATACTCTTTACTCAGCCTTGAATAATTTTTCCTTTCCTTCTTCACATGGAAGGTTTAAACAAACTACTGATTATTATATTTGGAAGTATTTCTGTGATACCCATAATTTAGGTCTTTTCTAAAAACTTTCACTAACATGGGGTCCCAAACAGTCGCCCTAGTGTTTTGGCTTGTTTTATTTTTCTCATCAGATTTTAAACTCCTTGAAGTCAGTTTTATGTCTTATTAACTCTCTTATTCCCAGCAACTAGTACCTGGCCCATAATACAAAACAAAAGATTTTTATTCCACTTGTTGTTAAATTATACCTTTTTTTTTTTTATTAGGACATGCCTGGTAGCTATTTTTGACCCCTGAGTCCTGGTTTACAACCACAGTTTCAGAGAAAGTTTGTCAATAAATTAATAATTCTTGTCTATCCTCCAGAAAAGCCTTGAATATCTTGTCATATTAGAAAGCAAAGAAGCTATCAAAGGTTTAAAATCTAGAGACATGTTAAGAGAATGCTGGGAAACTCAGAGATCCCAGTGGCCAGATATGGGGCAATATGAATTTTAAAAAGAATAAGATAGATTTTGGTTTGAGATGGTGATGTAGGAAGAACCTGAAATCACTCCCCTTCCACACAAACAAACAAAAAAAAACCCCTACAATTATATATGAAGTGATTTATATGAAAGATGACCCAAAAGCAAGATTTTAAAAAAAGCTTCCATAATAAAGGATAAAAGGACAGCATTTAGATAGCTGTTCATCAAGGGAGAAACCCCACCTCTGGTGTGGTGATTTATAGTTGGGAGGAGTCCCAAAGGGTAGAATGTTTACCTGGAATGTCATAAAGACAATTAAAAAGATTCAGGCAGAATGGGGAGGCAGAGGAACATATCCAAAATGAAAGAGCAAGATAACATACCATAAAACACCTTAAAGAAATGGAGATAAGCAAATTACCTGGTATTTCAAAGTAACAGTTACAAAGATTCTCACTAAACTCAGAAGAATGAATAAATCAGAAAAAAAATTAAGCTCCAAAGAAAAGTTTCTGTGCTGATGAATACAATGATAGAACTGAAAAATATATAGTGGAGAGTTCAATAGCAGATTGAGTAAAGCAGAGGAATGGAACTCAAAGCAATATAATTCACCTAGACAGAGAAGCAAAATGGAAAAGAATTTTAAAAAAGTAAATATACATGAAGAAACTTCTGAGACAAAATCCAGAGGAATACTATCTATAGTATATGGGATCCAGAAGGAGAAGACAGAAATGGTCAGAAAATTTGAGTTAATAATAGACAAAAACTTCCCTAATCTGAGGAAGGAAAAGGTAACTCAGACAGTTCCAAGTAAGAGAAAAACAAAGATGCACACCAAAAGGCATTATATTTAAAATGGCAAAAGTTACAGAGAAGACCTTAAAAGTAGCAAGACAAAAGCAGCTTTTCACATACAAGGGAAAACCACAAACTGATCATCAGACTTTTCAGAGATAATCAGAGGCCAAAGAAGTGGCTAAACATACACAAAGCGCTGAAAGGATAAAATTCTGACTAAGAATTCTATATCCCGCAAGATTAACATTCAAAACTGAAGGAGAGATTGAGTTTCCCAGATAAGGGGACTCCCTGGTGGCTCAGGAGTTAAAAACAGGGCTATCAAGCTATCGCCAGTCATTGCAGCATGAGTTAGATTCCCTGGCCAACCAAGGAGGTGACCCACATGGAGCAGCAGACCTCTCCTGTCTAGCCCACTGCTCCCTTCAGTAGTGTATTTCAGCAGATCCATCTGTTCTGCTTCCCACTCTGTCTCTGGTGAGTCCTCTCACCCTACCTGCCCCACACACACACCTATGGCCTACACCCCGGCTCTTATATGCATAAATAAATAAAAATCTTTTAAAAAAATGTTTCCCAGATAAGCAAAAGCAGTGACTTAATCACATACAGAGATGATAAAAATTAAAAGACAAAAATATTAAAATTAATGAAAACCACAATAATTAGCTAAGGGATACATAGAAGGTAAAATGTAAAATGAGATAGCAAAATATAAAATGTGGGGGGAAAGAGCAAAAAAGTAAAGGTTGAATGTGTTCAAAGTCAAATAGTTATCAAGCTAAAAAGTGTCATATACATTCAAAGTTACAACTGAACCTGTGGTAACCACAAAGCTTATACACAAATGAAATACACAAATGAAAATGGAAAACAAACCTAAGCATACCACTAAAGCAAGCCATCAAGCATCAAGGAAAAAAAAAGAAGAAAGGAACAGAGAAGAAACAAGAAAGTAACAGAGAACAATGGACAAAATGATAGTAAATGCATACATACCAATAATCATCTTAAACGTAAATGGTCTAAATCCTCAAATCAAAATACATAGAGTGGTTGACTGGATTAAAAACAAGACTGAACTATATATTGTCTATAAGAGACTCACTTCAGGGGTAAGAATACACACAGACTGAAATAGAAGAAATGGAGAAAAACATTCAATGCAAATGAAAGCTAAAAAAAAAAAAAACAGTTACAGGTATACTTATAATCAGACAAAAAAGACTAAAGAATGCAAAAAAAATGTACAAAAATGGACATTATACAATGATAAAGGGGTCAATCATGAAGATAAAACAGTGATTAATACATATGCACATGACATAGAAAAAACAAAATATATAAAAAAATATTAACAGACCTAAATGGAGAAATTGACAACACAATGATAGTAGAAATATTAACACCAAACTTACATTAATGGATCAATCCTCCGGTCAGAAAATCAAGGAGGAGACACTGGCCTTAAATGGCATAATAGTTTAGATGGACTTAAAATTTAACCACAAAACAGAAAACTATACATTATTTTCACATATGGAACACATGCAACATTCTCAAGGACAGATCAGATTGGGATACAAAACTAATTTCAATTTTAAAGACTGAAAATTTCCAACTTATAATTGTATAAAGTTAGACATCACAAGAAAACTGGAAAAAAATCACAAATATGTGGAGATTAAACAACATACTGCTAACCAAACACTGAGTGAATTAAAAAAATCAAAGAAGAAATGAAACAAATGAAAACACTATCAAAATCTTTGTGATACAGCAAAAGTAGCACAAAACTGGACATTTATAACAAAACAAGCTTATAGGAAGAAAAAAAAGAAGTGCAT